AATAGATAAACAAGGAAACAAGGAACAGGGTGCATATATAGTTGTGATTTTTATTAATAACAATAAGAATAAAATCAAAGCTACTATTCACTGAGTATCAGTTACTGTGTTAAGCGCTTCCCACATGTTACCTCACTGAAAACAATGTTCTGCAATAGGAATTACTACCCCCATTTCACAGATAATGAGGAAATTGAAGCTTGGTGAGATTAGGACACTTTCCCCAAAGTTACACAGCAAGTCAAATGTTAGAACCAAGATTAGAATCAAGGTCTTTTGCTCTTAAACACTCAAACAGTCTCCTAAGTACTTGCTACTTAAAGTACCATAGACCAGCAGCATCAGTCTGTTAGAAATAATGAATCTCTGCACCATTGCAGATATACCGAATTAGAATCCACATTTTAAGATCAGCAGGAGATTCATATGCACATTATAGGTAAAGAAGCACAGACTTACCTGGTTTTCCCAAATCAACTATTACCTCTCACAAATTCATCATCATACTACATCTCTACGTTAAAAAAGAAAAAGTCATTTGATTTCCCCACATAAGACTGTTAAATCATTTCCCAAATGCTTTTGGAATAATGTCCAAAACTGTTTTACAAGATAGGTAACTGGACTCTGCAAAGTACAGCCCATACTTGTCTCTGTAGTCTCATCCCCCACCACCCCCATCCATTGATTTTCACACCCCAGAGACCTTCACTCATCAAATCCCAACAACCCCTCTTCCCTCCCTCCCTTCCACCCTTTCTCCTATCCTTCAAGTTCTTTCCAGCCTAAAACATACCACCACCCACCACCATGACCACCTCCACACCAGCCACAGTCACTGCTGTATCTCCAGTGCAGGACAGCGCAGTACCTAGCACAGAGCTAGGAGCAGGATAAATGTGATGAATAAATACATGTTTAAGATGTTGAGGGGCTCAGCTGTTTCCTTCGTCCGTCCGCTCTTTGCTCTTGCTGTGATCCTCACTCCATTGCTCCCTCCCTGTCCCCTGCATTACCCCTTGTCTCTAACTGCCCGCTTTATCAGTAACCTCATGGCTACTGAAGTTGTCAGTTTTGGAAAGCAGCACTGCCATGTCCACACGGCCATTGCCCCAGGATTACTCAGCAGCTGGATGACAACGGCTTCACTTTAACCCCGAGGCTCCTAGGATAGGCCCAGTGCTTTCTAGAAGTGGGCAGAGGTCACACTGCAAGGAGCAGGCTGCTTTTCGACCCAAGATTTAATATACAGATGGAACCATAGATCAGAGATCTCTCAGCAGGCAAGCTAGAGCCAAAAGCCTCACCATCTCTCCACCCACACAAGAAAATGTCTCTGTGCAGACAAGATGGGTTACGAGGAGTTGTGAGTTACCATATTTTAAATGTGACCCAAGCTTACTGTTCTAAGAAAACAAAAGGTAAATCCTTTTATAAAATAGCTACCTGCCTCAAGTTTGAAGTTGGAGTAAATGTAATATATTTTCATATATCGGGTTTACATTAACAACAAAGATCTACTATTTATCTATTAAATACCAGTTACTGAGTGCCTGACAACATACTCAAAGCTTTAAACACACACTCTTTATCATAACTTTGTGAGGTAGAAATGCTTATTACTATTATCCCTGTTTTACATAAAAAAAATAAAGGCTAACTGACCTGCCTAGGAGGCAGGGCTGGGATTTAAATCATAGGCCTGCAGACTACCACTCTCTATTGCTTCTCTGCTATCTTTAGCTATTTAGATCACTGTCTCATCCGAGAAATCACAGATACGGACATTCCCAAAGAAACAGCCCCTGGAGGATGGTCTCAAAGGCTGATTTTTCTTTGCAATGTAGACATTGAAAAGAAAGTAACCTGCTACATCTTATATCTCAAAGGTACATTTCTACATTAAAAGAGAAAACTGAGATTCAAGAAAAGAATGTGGGAACATGGCTCAGGGATGTTTATAAATGCAATTCCACAAAATTTTTTTTCAGTGTCTACCAATGGTTCAGGCACTGTGCTAGAAGCTGAATGATCAAACTGTCAGTTGAGAGAGTGCTATGGGGGACAGGAAGTGATGGGGAGAAGGTCTCCGCTAATGAATGTTTCAGGAATGTTTAGCCAGTAATTTATAAAACTGTTACTTCATTATCTGAATATGCATAAATCATCTTTCACACACAAGATGAGAGTTACCTGCTTTACATCTGTGAATACATAATTGAAAAGAGCACTGTCATCTAAAGCAAAAATTTTAAACAATTCAAAGAACTCATGTATTCATTTCTGATACCCCATATGAGAGAGTTACACTTTAACGTATGTGAATGAAAACAGTGTCAGATTTTGTTCTCAAGGGTCTGAAAGAACAAAAGAGAAAAGAGTATTGGGAACCGAAATAAGACTAATTCCCAATACAGAAATGGAGCATACTGAAGCTACATGTATGTATAAATAAAAAAGGGGGCACAGAAACGCTTCCTAAAGCATTCCACCAAACATTTACAGGAATAAGGCTAGGCCAAAGGCAGCAAACAAAAGAAGCTTGAAAGATCACATGCAGTACTATGAGGCCTCCTTGCAGAAATAGGATGCTTTTGACACAAGGGCATGAGAGGAAGCCCTTGGGCCAGTTTGTATCTCACTTCCCTTATTTATAAAATGAAAGAGATTAGATTATTTACAAAGTATTTCAAGCCCTATCCCATTAGATACTTTTCATCCATATGGCCCTGCACCTAAAGATAGACAAGCATAGAAAGAGTGTCAAAAAACATTTACTGAATTAATGCACTATTAAAACCTTACCAATAATAAGAAAAGATACTTTAAAACAATTGGTCCTGGTCTGTGGCCTGTGAAGAACAAATTAGGGAAGAAACCATTATCTATATAGCTTCACATCTGATGCTCCTTCTAGTTGACTACAGAGAGAATGAAAATAACTCTGGACTTGGAAATAAGATGTTTGTGTCTACTCTCATTTCGGACATAAACCAAATGTGTGACCTTGGGAAAAACTCCTTTGCCACCTGGACCAGTTTCCTTATCTTTAAAATAAAGGTATTATAAAGCTATATATAGCTAACATTTGTGGAACCTTTACTATATGCCAGGAACTGTTCCAAGGTCTTTGCATTGGATTTAAATGATCTCAAAGGTTTTTGCAGCTCTAACATTTAGTGTCTAACTACAGAGACAACATGGCATAATGGAAATATTCCAAATTCTGTACTCAGAAAGGTTGGGCTCACTCACTCTCTAGAAGGTAGGGTCTTTTTCTAAGCAGAGACTGTTAAGCAGTCTAGGTTACAATCCAGAACTTCTCTTCACTAGCTGAGTTAGCTTAAATTGCTCAACTTTCTTAGCCTTAGTTTTCTAATATGTGACGTTGACATAAAAACGGTTCTGTCATCTAGCTATTGAGAGGATTAAATTATAATAACTAATTACGTATAATTAAATTATAATGTATTTATGATAAATTATATTCACTACACTAAATTTATAAGCATTAAATGATAAATGCATATTAAATTTTATTACTAGGTGTGTGACCGTGAACAACTCATCTTTTCTAGTGCTTTCCTCATCTGCAAATGGGAGATACGGTATTATCAAAAGAGATCATGTAAACATACTCTAACTGTTGAGTGTTAGATGTGTTTGAAAGCATGCATATTCCCTAATACTTGGAAAAGCGTATACAGTAACTCCCAACCTAATACTTGGAAAGGCATATACGATAAACGCTGATGAACATGGCAATAAAAGACATCTCTACTAAACACGTTTCTCTAGTCCCAGCTCGCCGCAAAATCGCAGGGCCACGTGGAAGTTGTAGTTCCAAATCAAAGGGCTGACCCACAGGTGTCTGGGAGTGAGACTTCAACTCCCAGGAGACACCTCGCCACACCACGTGGCATGCTGGGAGACAGAGTACCAGCCCGCTGGGAAACAAAGGGTGGGACTCCAGCTACCAGAAGGCTCCGCTGCCCAGGCCGTAGATAAGAGGTCGAGGCGGGAGAGCTGGCACGCCCAGCTAACAGGTGCATGTGGGCCGCTCTCGGTAGTCAACGGCCCAGCGCAGCTGAAAGCCTCTCTAAAACAGTCATTGGGCGTATTTTCTGCTGGTCCTCAGCACATTTCTGAGGGACCCAGAATTATAAAACATTGTTTGCAACGAGCAGACTTGCACAATCATGTACATTTAGGCTCCAGACAGCATCCGTGGGCCACTTGGGAGGGAGCTTTAAGCTCTTCTTTCCCAGATAAAGTACTGTGACCCTGGTCCAAGGTCATGCGGCAGAGGCAGAATTTGGTCCTAAAGAGGAAGCTGCAGATTCAGCTCCAGTTCCACTAACTGGACCCTTTCCTCCCCGCCCTCCTACACCCCACCACCCCGCCATGAATATATCTTTGAAATCCACGAATATTTTCGTTTCATATAAAAACACCATTAAGTCATAAAATAGGTGTTGAGGAAGTCCAACAGACTACGCGCACTAAAACGAATTCGATGCTTTTTTGTGTTTCCTAAATATCAAACGTAAAATTCCCAAATACTGCCTTTCTTATGCCCTGCTTGGCTCCTGTCCTGGGCAAAGTGTACAACCCGCTCCCTTTGGGGAACCCAGAGCTGGGTATTAAACAGTTCTGTTGAGGCAGATTCCTGTTACTTGCCTATGAAACTGAAACCATCCAAAAGTGACCTGTGCCAACTACACCACCAGGCCCAGGTGCTGAGGCGCCCCTGGAACTGCTGGCATGGCCTCGTGCCTCAGTGTGCCCACTAATAAAATGCACCTGAGGAGAGACGGATAAGGACTGGGGCCGGTGCTCAGAACGCGGCCCGGAAAGGCCCGGAAGGAGGGCGGGCCGGCGGGACAGACGCTCAGCCCCCACTCCCCGGGCCGCCGCGGTACTGACTAGACGCTTGTGGAAGGAAACAAGACCCGCGCCCTGGAAACACTGTTCGACTTGGGCTTGCCCCCTGCCCCTACCTTTCAAGATCTTGGCAGCTGGGCAGTAAAAGGCAGAGGGAGGGAGCGCGGGGCACAAGCTGCGCCTGGGCGCGTACACACGGGGGTGGCCGCCTGAGGGACCGGGAACGGTGGCTAAGAGATACCGCCACGGGACGGAGCTGAGAAGAGACTACAGTTCCCAGATGGCCCTGCGACAAGGGCGGGACCCAAGATGGCCGCTCGTCGTGGGACAGGCGCAGAAACCAATAAGCATAGAGCATGCGCCTACCCCGAGCCAATCAAAAACCAGAGGGACCTGATTCACGGGCGGGAAACACTGTTTCTCTCTGGAGAGTTGCTGAGGGTGGGAGTCACTGTGAAAGGAGAGATTTGTCATAAATCTCACAATCTTTGGTTTTTTTCCAAATGGAAAAGCAGATATTCTTTAGGCTCTGATGCATTTTTCTTTCTTTTCTCCATTTTTCTTTCTTTTCTTGGCTTAATTTACCCTCCCTCGCCAGGGGCTGGATTTCCTGTCACTTCTCATTCTGGATGGTTCTTGATTCCTAAACCTTCCATTCCTTGGGTTTCTCTCTGAAAGCTGGTTCGCAATCCCTTATTGATCCAGTTTACGACTACACTCGGCCTTCCTGGCAACCCAGCTAAAATTCATCACAATTCTCCCTGTCCCTTACTTTCTCCTTTTTGTGTGCTATTTTTCTCCTTAGCGCCTGTCGTTATGAAGCACTACTATATAATTTATTTATTAATCTTTTTATCGTTTTTCCCTGTAGAATGAAAGATCTGTGCATATGCGGGTTCTGGTTGCTGCAATATCCTACCACCAAAAGTATATATAGTGTACATATACAGCAGGCACTCAGTCAACATTTGAACAATTAAATGAAAGCTAAAGTGGCCTTTCTATTCTCCCTTTCTTTGGTACAGATCAATTAAATCCATCTCTGACCATCATGGGGTCCTTGCATTTGCTCCCTTTTCAAATTCAAAATCATTCAATATATTCTTTGGGGTGCTGGAGAAATTAAGTCAGACCCCATTCCTAACCTCAATATATTCCTCGTTTAGCAGACTATGAGAGGTAAACTTAATTTTGCAATTAATGTAATTGCAAGCTACAGAAATAATTGCACAAGGTCATATATCTCATAAGCAGAGACTAGAATTCTGGCCTTCAGACTCTTGCCACTAAACCACACTCTTCCTTCCGGTGACCTGTCTTCTTTAAGATTGCCTCCTCCCCTTTCCTACTCTCCCCTCCCAATCCTAGAGCCAAGGAAGAAGAGATATTTGCCAGGAATCTTTTAAATTTCAAAAGGAGAAACAGAGCATTTACACTTGGACAAACCCTGAGATTTGTTCCTACTTTGCCTGCCACCATCTCCTTTTTTGTTTTATTTTCCTCTCTCTGTTTCTTTGACCTGCTTAATTAGATACAGGTGATTACACCAAGTCCTAGATCTCTCATCCTTCCTGATGTTTGATCCCCACAGAGAGTAGCAAAGTATCCCAAAAAATATCCTGGTGTGAAATACTGATGTCCTAGGAAGCTTGACTCTCAGAGAATGTCACTGTGGATTATAGCCAGTTTACAGGTTATCACACAGACACCATGGCTACATAAAATAGTAAAGAATTGTGAATAGGTGAAATTGAAAACTACACATAAAACAGCAGTAATGTGATCAATATATGTACAGACTAATTTTGGGCATAGAAATTAAAACCCCAGGCCTAACCTCTCAATCTGGGGTTGTTTTCTATAATACAACAGTTCTTTCTAGGTTTTATGAGCATTGATTCAGCAGCCCCAGCTTTTCTCAAGCTGACCGGCATGAAAGATTTCAACGTGTGTCAGCAGCCAGACTAAATGTAGAGTAAATCACTGGACCATATGAAACTGGAAAGCTCAACAACTAGACTCTCCTCCTGAGAAAGTATCAGCCTATAATCATTACATTTTCTACTCAGCAATCAAAAGGCAAATGTCATGGACATACTCAGGATCTAAACAGTGGTGGTACATTGTCAGGCACTTACTTAAATGATTATTAAACCATTGTCAGGCAACCTAGCATAACCATATACGTATTACTTCAGCTGTGCATGATGCTGGCTGCTGGGCTCAAGGTCAGCCATGACCTTCAGCAATACGGTCACAAAGAGCATTAAGACATGGCACTTGCCTTGGACCCAGACCTTCCAAGTGCCAAGACAGTCAGTGGGGAGATGACTGTCTGATCTTCAACTTGACTAACAAAGAACCTGGAGATGGTATCTTAGCTTGAGTTCTCCCAGAAGCACATCCTGAGAGGTATTCAAGTGCAACTAATTTATATGGGAAGTGATCTCAGGAAATACCAGTAGGAGAACAGGGAAGTGAAATTGGGAGGGATAGACAGACAAAAAAACCATGTGACTTCAAGGATGATTGGAGCTTAATCATCTTGAGGAACTCTAGGAAACAAGGTGGAACACACACCTTAGACTGAGCTATCCCATAAAAGGACAAAACAACTAGGTTGTTTAAACACTAACTCCCATAAATCATTGACTGGGGGCTGCATTCAGGAGCTAAGTACCTGGTTCTTCAAGCATGCTGTATGAGAGGGCAGAGTTGCTTCAGTAACCAGAGAAAGCCAAAGATACAGGTGCTGTGATCGGAATTCAGGCTGCTATGCCCTGAAATGGTAAGGCAATAGAGGGTACTGGTGGGGCACCAATGGTATCTGTTACAGGTGGCTTTAGTTCACACAAGCTCAAATTATAGAGACTATCAGAATAAGAATAATGTAATACTTAATTACATACATAAAAAAATAATAAAAAGCAAGCAGCCTATAACCCTGTAACTTAATCATATAAACAATTAAAATAAACAGTACTTTCTAAAGTATTTCTAAGACACACAAACTGAATAAAAACTACAACAAAATCCTCTTTCACACTGGGAACTCTTTGAAGACTTACGGAGAGGCTTCAGTGGGACTTGGTTTTGGCAGAAAGGGGAGGAAGGAGATCAAGAAAAGGAGAAAAAGGCACTTAAAGAAATATTGCTGGAGACAATGTGTTGCTCATTTCATTATTGAAGAAACACAAATAAAGGGCTTTGGATATTTGAGAAATTCACATTAATTTCTAGGTCTTTTTGACCTAGAAGACAATTTTGAGAAAGACCTCTGGTTGTGCATGTAAAGAACTTCTTCTTGGCAAATAGCTTTACTTGAAATTACAGTCACAGTTTATTTGTCTTTCTATTTATCATCTGTCTCCAAATAAAATGTAAGCTCCATGAAGGCAAAACTTTCTTGTCGTTTTCAGTAGCAGGCACTCAATGAATGACTACGTTATGGCCATAAAAAGCAGTCAGGGTGAGTACTAGGAGGGTCTGACATTTGTACCATTCATTATGTTCAGCTATCACCATCAAGAAAGTAGCCCTGCAATAACCTCCCATTATCACAAACTTTGGACCATCCTAATGTGTGGAAACCCTAACAGTCACACAGTCTTCTATTTTAGTTACTACCAACAGCATTCTCTTCCAGCATACAGGAAATACGAAATCTTTACCATGATAACCATTTCAAAACTAGAAAGGCCTAGAAGTCAAAAAGCTCAGCCCTCTCCATAGTTCACTTCAATTGTATGTTACAGGTCATAATTCAGACCTTCAGACAAAAATCTTAAGGACATTTGTTTAATTGGAAATCTCATATCTAACATAAAAATAGTTCATTAGGAAAAAAAGATGCATTGTTTTTGTATTACAAAGTATAGAAAAGTTGGGACACAGCTGTACCCAAAAGCTCCCATCTCCTTCACAAATGTGTCAGCCCATAATCATTCAGCCTCTTGGCTGCTGTTGGAGAAATCTCGTTGCTGATAAGAACCATCTCCTGATATGCTGAAAATTCTCTAAATTTTTCCCCTTTTTACTCTCTCATCTTATTCATTCCTTTGTTGTTCTATGTTAAATGTATTCCTTGGGTGGATTTGTTCATCAGATATTTAGAGATTGGTCTATTCCCTATGGTTAGTGAACATATGCATGCTGTCTCCTTTTAACTATGCCTCATAAATAATCACACTTAATCCTTCTTAGTGCCATCTTTTGCAATCATCTTCCAGTTACCTAGAACATAAGGTGCATAAAACTAAGCTCAGTGTCCAAGCTGTGATCTCAGTAGGGTTGCTCAGAGATAAGCTTTGATTTTTCATCACTCTCTTTCAAGAAATTATGCCTCTAAACACATTGCCCTGGATTCACTGCAGCTTTAAAGGCATTTTATCATTCTAGAGAATAAAACCCATTAAAAGCATTTCCTAAAAATTAAACAATATATTTCTGTAGTAAAGGACTTAGTGAGGAATGGGATGCAACTTCATTTCAGCCCAGTTTTTCGTGTATTGAGGGCTACTCTAAGCCACGGCTACTCTGTTTGGGGCTGGGAGTCACCAATGAACCAGACACAGTCCCTGATACTGTACTGTCATGAAGACCACAAACACGTAAGCTGGTAAAAAAAGTCTATGTGATGCTTTAGAAGTTGATGCCAGAATGAGTCAATTCTGCTAGCTACAGTGAAGGAGAAAGGGTGTTCTAGGCACATGGTGAGTGCCAGAGTTCAGACAAGGTATATTTATCGGCCTATAACCTAAAGTGGAAGTAGGGCATTTGTGAAAGGGGCTGGAAGAGTCTCAAGGGCCAGCTCATGATGATTGCATACAATAAAAACGATTGAGAGACCTGTAATATCAAACAAATCACTGAACTTCTAGGCAAAAAGAAACAAAACATTCAACAAATATTTATGGAGCACCTACTGTGCAGGCATTGTTCTAGGTACTAGGAATGCAACAGTAAATGGTCATAAAAAGTCTTACCTTCATGGAACTTCTGGTAGAGAAGACAGATCTACACCAATATACAAATTTATAATGTATCATAGGTGTCGATACATGCTATTTAAAAAATGCAAAGTGAGGGGCTAGAAAACGATGGGTGGCCTTCTTTTGCATAGGGTGGTCAGGAAGGCCTCTTTGAAGAGGTGTCATTTGAACAATGATCTCAGCAAAGTGAGCGGGCCAGCCATGAGGAAATCTGTGGAAGAAAGTTGCAGACCGAGGGAACAGTAAGTGCAAAGCCCTTAAGAC